TCCTTCCTTCCTTCCTTCCTTCCTTCCTTCCTTCCTTCCTTCCTTCCTTCCTTCCTTCTTTCTTTTTTAATTGTCAGAGAGGGAGTCTACACTTCCCATTTTCTGTCTTTTAAAAATATTTTTCTTTAATTTGCAGTAATTGGATTGTACCTGCTTTTATTACGTAAACTGTTTTGAAGGACTCCAGCAGCAAACATTGCTTGACAGGTGGAATAAAAAACACCCTAAATGTTCAAGCCTTGAATTGTACAACTTGATCTTAAGTAGAGGTATGAAAGACAGCATCCTGCTAGTGGGCGGTTGGACTAGATCAGTGGTCGCCAACCGGTGGGCCGTGGCCCACTGGTGGGCTGCGAGAAAATTTTGGTGGGCCGCAGAGAAATCTCACCCCCAGAGCACCCCCTCAAAGCAATTAATCCAGGCTGCACAGAAACACAAGGCTGCGCTGCCCACATGGACTGCGGGAACCCTCCCCGCCCACTCACTCCTTACCCGGCAAATTTGCCCGCTAAATTGCTATTTTTCCTTTTTCTGACCATCATCTGTTCTGCGGTGCCGGGAGATTTAGATTAGCTAGGAAGCAGAAAATGGTTGGATTTCTTGCTTTCTAGCTAGTCTTTAGATCTTCAGCTCTGCTTTTAAGCACAGCCAAACCTCCCTTAGGACTGAAGGTTCTATTATTCAGTGCCGACTCATGGCAAGCAAATTTTATGTGACAGACTGAGCTAGCCGATGGCAGATAGATAGATCACTGAATGATTCTGTGAGCAACTCAATCTGCCTTCCTGCTTTGCCTGATTTTCGGTAAAAGTTGCTCTTTTTTTATAAAAAAATCAATATATAAATATTTATAATATTTACATATAAGCTATGCCTAGCCAGTCACATGACCACCAAGCCAAACCCACAAATTAGGCCATGCCCACAGAACTGGTTAGTGATCCCTGGGATTTAAAATTATGAGTTTGGTGGTCCCTGAGGTCCAAAAGGTTGGCGACCCCTGGACTAGATGACCTACAGGGTCCCTTCCAACTCTGCTAATCTGTTAAATTCTGAGTGGTTTGAAATACTCTATGGTCCAACATGTATCTACTCAGGTAAACCAAGTAGAATAGGCTCTTAATTAAACACATACTAGAATGGCAGTTTTATTCAGCCGAGGTGCAATTCAGTAGACTCTTACTTAGCAATCAGCATTTCCTAACTATGGTACTTCTGAGTAAGCATGCGAAGAAACTGAATTGAACTCAATTGTAACAGGCTGAGCCGCAGCTCAATCTCTGCCACTGCTATCGCTTTACACATGGATTTAATAATCTTCCCCTATTGTTTTGCTATGACTCAACTGTGAATAGAGATGTTTTGCGAGTGACAAAACAAAACAGGTGTCTCTTCTTCCGTTCAGTTTCTGAGATATGCTAAGGAAACAAACATAGACAGATCATATGTGTATATGTTGGGACAGTCTTGTCTGTGGAATGTGCAAAACAAGTGCGGTGGGGCAAAATCCATAAAGGAATAAAGGATATGAAGAGAGAGAGAGGTCAAAGATTCTTTTCTTCTCATGATATTTGTTCATGGGGAGTCTAATACCAACTCATAAATTTTTGTCTTCAAGATAGGGAATGCTTAAAAACCCACATTTCTGCAATCTCAGGAAACAAGTAATCACCTTATAAACAAGTTTTGTTCTTGACATCTATCACTGTTTATGAATCACAGTTTGGCTTTAAAGAGGTTCTTCAAGGAAAGGGACAGGTTTCATGGTCTTTAGTTCCAGTTCTTATGAATAAATGGAAGGTAAGAGATGACCAGCGTTAAAAACAGAGGGTGGACTGAATTCATATTATAATTA